TGTTGTTGAAAAAAGGTGTTTGCAATGAATAAGTCGTTGGTCTTGCAAAATTCTACCATGCGAGTTCCAGCATTATTTCTGTCACCAAGACCAAATTTTCCAACTACCAGTGATTTCTAACTACTGGTGTACTGGGTCAGAATTGATATTTTAACAAGATCCCCATAAGAATATATGAGACATACAAGGTTGGGCAATCTACTTCTGTACTGATACCACCTCAGAAACCCAAGTAGGGGTCGCTATGAGTCAAGTTCAATTCGATGGCACATAACAACAACAACAACAACCACATACATAAGAATCACCTGGCGAGCTATAAGAATCACCTAAGGATCTTGCTAAAATGTACATTCAATATATCTGGGATGGACATACAAATTCTCAGCAGGGGGTCAAACCAGAATGAACCAGTTCACAGCCCTAGTTTGAATGATAGCTTCCTAATAATCACACCTTGCTGCCTTACAGACCCAGCTTAACAACCTACACAAATGCAAAATGATGTTAGCTATCCACACATCAACACTTTTCTTATAGGGCAAAAAGGGATATAGATGTGAGTGCATTTAGCAGTTACACACACACACACACACACACACACACTCTCACTCACTCTCTCTCTCTCTCACTCACTGCCATCCAGTGGATTTTGACTCTAAGGCGGTATCTCTATGGAAAGAGATTCCCCAAACTTCCTTCCAAGAGCTCAGGTGGCATAGTGCCTAAGGCATTTCACTGTTAACCAGAAGGCTGGAGGTTCAAACCCACCAGCCACTCCTCAGAAGGAAGGTTGAACAATCTACTTCTGTAGTGATACCGCCTAAGAAAACCAAGGAGGTGTCGCTATGAATCGGATCCAACTCGAGGGCAGTGCGTTACATTGCATAATCTTCCATCTCAGGAGTGGCTGGTGGGTTTGAGCCTCCCAGCCTCCTGGTTAGCAGTCAAATGCCTTAGCCACTATGCCACCAGAGCTGAGAATTCAAATGGAGAGAATTTCTATTTTAAAACTCCCCTCTGGCCTGAAGAGTTAATGACTCAGTTATGTCTAGTTCTTTTAGTAAAAACTGAAAAATATGTATATCTATTAAATATCCAAACCGTAGGGTTGATGATACCATCTAAAGACCAGACAGGACAAATTATAAAAGATACTTTAACAGTCTTCAGTAAGACCATCGTATAGATTCAAGTTTAATTTTTTATGACTACTCACTAATTGATGAGATGTTGAAGAAGGCCCTAGCTTAGCCGTGGACTCTGCTCTAGTCTGTAAAATGGAACATTTATCTTTAAGGAGGATCTGAAGACTAACTGCATCATTTTTCCCAGCATCAACCCACAAGGAAGACAGAGAAGACTTGATAGAGACAGACATTCTCCCCCAAACACTCCAACCTTCATTGATATAAGATATTCACTGTATCACATTTGAGAATGAGTGCTACACTAAACAGATAATGAGCTGGTAAGAATAAAAGGTTACATGGAAAAATCCTGGGAATTCACAAGCTGTGAATGGGCCAGGGTAGTTAAGCTTACCTCTTATCACTTATTTGTATTCTAGTCCAATATAAAGGCTTCATGGGACAACTGGGCTCGATGGCCGGCTTTCGAGGACATTGGCTAGAAGAAGACCCAACTCCAAAGAAGAGTCCAGGGGGAGGTGGGGGTGCAAGTCCTGGGGGTGTTGGAGCAGGAGGGGGGCCTCCACTGTTAGGCAGAGGAGGTAAGTTAGGAAGTGGGGGTGGAGGAGGAGGAGGTGGGGGTGGTCCAGCACTTGGAGGTAGAGGAGGTGGCAGAGGTGGTGGTGGTGGTGGCCCAGCACTCACAGGTGGTATGGGAGGTGCTAGTGGCAAAGGTCCAAGGCCAGGTGGAAGTGCAGGAGGGAGAGGGATAGGGGCTGGTAGGGGGGGTGCAGGAGGAGGAGATGATGCCTTCTGCTGATTAGATGAGATGCTTTCCACAGACTGAAGTGGGGCATGGATGTCTTTGTTGTCATCTGGGGGAGAAAGTTGGCTTAAAGAGGAGATATTCAGCTTTTTGGGTACTATTTGGTTACTTCTGGTTGTCTTGCTTTCACCTTCACAGGGTTTCAGGAAGGTCTCCCTGTCTGTCTGGATGCACACATTTCTGTAGGTCTTTGGAGGGCAGTCGTCATCAGTGGAGATGCATGCATCTCTCATTTCTTCAGACCCTCCTCGCCAGCGGTGTTCTAACTCATGGTTGAGATTCGCAATGGTTTCTTCTAGTCTCGCTGTTACTGCTGCATGCTCACCTCGGATGTGAAAGGCTCTAAGTTCAAATTGGGCCTGGAGGGAAATCAGTGGGAAAGAAAGTGAACAGTTTACAAAAAAAAAAATCTCAAAAATAAAAAATACACCACCACTCCTGTACCACGATGGTACAGCCCACTAAATGCAGAGACACACAGAGACATTCTTTCAAGAACCCAAAAGGGTATAAATTTCACTTTATGAATTTTCCAGGGACTTAAATAGTTGAAGTAGAAGCGTAATTTCATCCAATCTGAGCTCATGGGGAATAATTATCATGGATTAAGGTTTAAAATAAAACTGTCACCTAAGAACTTTCACCCGGTTTTAATACCAAATGTAAAACAAAACTTTTAATAAAGGTTTGGAGACATGCTTGAATATATCTTTTTAAACTTTTGGTTTGTGTTTGGAAAAATAAAACCATAAGAAAAAGGTTTGGAGATCCCTTCTGGCTTGAAGCTGAACTTCTCAGTCATCTTTAGAGTGTTTGTCTTTATGGGGTTTCCAGGCCAGTACAGCAAAACAAAAGGTTCAGAGAAGGAGTAAAAATACACATTATTTTTTTAAGTTACCATATCAAAGCTCCCTATGATTAGTATGTGTGTCTACTTCATGATCATTTATACTACAATAATAAATAAATAATATAAATGCATATAAAGTATGAGGATATTAAAATTTGCTACATACTCAGTGTTTTAAACTATTTTTTTTATAAAACATCAGCCTTTCTGAAGGATATTCCTTCAATTATTTTCATACCTTGATACTTTGACTTTACATTTATTAGCAAAGAGCTGGTGTACTCTCAGTAATTAGCTAGCCTGTTTTCCAGCATTCAACACTGTTTAGCATATTGCAGTTAACTAGGAATCAATCAAATGTGTAATTTTATGAGTTTCCAAAATCCAATTTAAAAGTAATTAAACATTTTTGGTGAATTTAATTTCAGCCTCATTCATCAAATTATGAACTCCACAAGATGTAATCAGTGATGACAGTCTCTCTCTTTACTTCTGTATCACAGCAGCTAGTACAGTAAATACAAAGAAAAATCACTATAACAGCTCTGTTCACCTACATTTCCTCAAGAGTCATCCTTATGGCTAACCAAGACTTTCATCAGCTATAATTCAGCCCACAAATATTTACAACACAGAAGCATAATAAGCAAGTGCAGATTCCTTTTAAACTGAAAAAGTAAAGAAATACGTTTAAAGCCCATCCAGACTAGGTAAAGAAACAGGGAATTTCTCTACCTTCAGTAAGAAAAAATTTAATGACTTTTTTTCACTAGGTTTTCAAAACTTCTATCTAATATTCATTCTCATGAACTGGCTCCCAAAGAGCTGTGATCAATAGACTTGAGAGAAAAGTTTTTTTTTTTTTTTAACTAATCTTCCCATATAAGGACAAGGTAGTAGTTAGCCAAATCTGAAAAGAGAGAGCTCAGAGTTCTTGCATAGAACAGAGGACTAATAAGCACCTGATTTCTGGATTCATACGACCTGGTTCACATCCTGGCTCAACCACTTACTAGCTCTATAACCGTGGGCAAGGAACTTTGTGTCTGAAAGCCTGAGTGTCCTGAGTGTAAAGTCAGGATCACTGTAAACCACCTCTAAGGCTTCTACGAAGGTGAAATGAGATACCTCGTTACTTGTTCAGCATCATCGCAACATGAAAGCCTCCACTGACAGAGGCTGACTGCTGCCCAGGAGGTGCTCTGACAAAGAATCAAATCCAGGTTTCCCACATGGAAGGTGAGAATTCTCCCACTGAACCACCACTGCCTCAAAAGCAAAAATAGAAAGCAAAATCCTCCTTTAAGTCCTTCTAGCTATCACCCTCTTTCACCCTACCTCTTTTCCTTCACAGAAGAGTTTTTGAAAAACCAATGAAACTCTGCTTTATCTACTTTCTTATCCACTCACTTTTCAATTATGGTTTGATGGTTTCCATCTCCACTGTCCTATTGAAACTCTATGATTTGATCATTACATTTGCTCAGTACTTTTGAATGATTGGCCTCTCAGCCACGTTTGATAAAGGTGACTGTTATTAAGTTCTCTCTGACTCCTTAAGCTTCTAATATACTCTCCCCCCATCTCCCTCTTACCTCTCTGCTCCCTCCAGTCCTCTGTTATATGTTGCCCAGGCATCCTCCTCAGTATATTGTCCCTCTCACACTACACAGTCTCTCCGGATGACCTCATTTACTATGTTGGTCACAATGGTATCTTTATATCCTAATTCCAATTGTCTCCTGGACTGATAAACCTGAATGTTTAATTATCCATCTCAGACTCATTGTGGCTGAAACGGAATTTGTTGTTACTGTCAAACCTCAATTTGTCCCTCCTCTGAAATTCCTTCTCATAGCTAATGGCATCATCATTCTCCTAGTCATCACATCCAGAAATAAGGACTCATGCTGAATTCCTTGCTTGCTCTCGATACCCACATACTACTTGTCAATGAGTTCCACTGATCTCCCTGATCCATCCATTCCTCTCCATCCCCACTGTCTCAACCTTTCATTGGGTCCTCTTCACCTGCACAGTGGCAAGAGTCATCTAATTTTCCTGACTCCAATCTAACCACACTTGTTACAGAGGGATTTTTAAAAACTAACATAGATCCTTATTCCTTTAAAGCCTTCAATAATTAACCATTTTTCACAAAATAACACTAAAAGTTTTTTCAGCATGAACACATTGCAAGCTTTCTGATCTGTCTTCTGCCTACTTTCTCTGCCTTTAGGAGCTCTGGTGGCATAGTACCTGAGGCATCTGACTGCTAACCAGAAGGCTGGAGGTTCAAACCCACCAGCCACTACTCAGAAAGAAGGTTTGGCAATCTACTTCCCTAGTGATACCACCTTGGAAACCCAAGGAGGGGTCGCTATGAGTTGGATCCAACTTGACAGCAGTGTGTTGCATTGCATTCTGCCTTTGGCTTCTCTCCTTCTTCAGATATGCCCTGGATTCCAGTCTTAAATAACATTTTGCCTCTCTTGGGGCCATGTTCTTTCATGCATCTGAGTCTCTGCCCATGTTGTCCTCTTTCAGTACTTTCCTCTGCTGCAAACATCCAAGGTAAAGAGACAGATTACTACACATAGATTTGATGAATGGCTTCCTCACAATCTGTATTCACTAATATGGAGAATTGTCCAATAAGGAAGAAAACAATTTCTCTCCACCTACTCCAAACCAATATGCTGAGATTACAGTAACGAAGCTTTTTCTGAATCATTCCAATTTTGTCTTGGTTGTGTTCCTGAGCTCAGCATGATATAGTAATTCAAAGTGATTAAAAGAAAAAGCAACTAATTTATTCTCTACCTGCTCATATTCTATCAATTATTTCAAATTCTGCCTGCTTCTATTACAAAGTAAGCATCCCACTTCCATGAATTCCTAGTTTTTTTTCTTTTCTTCCTTTTTAACACCACCTTCTCCTTTGAGCATGGAAACCATTGGCTGTTTCCCCTGCATTACCTGGATCCCTAGCTAGAAGGGCTGATAATAATTTAGTGAGTCCTACACAGAAGGTTAGAACTTTCTGTTTGTTAGTCATGTACTCCCAGATGATCTCTGCCCCAGGACCCTGGAAATCTTTAAGAAATAAGGGCCTCTGTAGCCCAATCTGCATATGAGACTGGTTCAGGTGAATACAACAATTTCAACCCTGCTGACTCTCTTTTCACCCTCTTTTATTTTCACATTGAGCACATGGTTGTAGGTGGTAGATGAAACAATTACAAACCCACCACTCATTTTTGGATACACGTTTTTTTAAAAAAAAAAAAACCAAACTCACTGCTGTCAAGTCAATTTCGACTCATAGTGATCCTTCCTTGGGTTTCCAAGGCAGTATCACTATGGAAGTAGATTGTCCCACCTTCCTTCCAAGGAGTGCTGGTGGGTTTGAACCACCAGCTTTCTGGTTAGCAGTCAAATGCCTTAGGCACTATGCCACCAGAACTCCCACATTTTTTAGAATATATAAAATTTTCCTCTCCCCTTCCTCCCTGCTAAATCTGCTGCTTTCCTGCATTCATTCCAACACATCATATGGAAGAAGACAGATACAGAGATTTGACATCTTTCCAGTCTTTCCCTCTTGGACTCACCCAGGTGTTACCCACATTCTTTTACTCACAACTTGCTTGCTTCTACTACATTCATTTTAAATCCTACCTTCTTCTCATCTACAATTTTCTATTAACCTGTATCCATTTTTTTTTTTTTCCTAAGGAAGAGTGAAACAATTTTTAAGAACTCCATCCCAATGAAATCTACTCTATTTCATCCACTCTGTTCTTTCACTGGCACTATTATTACCTGCCTAATGTAATGGTTCTTGGCCCTGGGTCTCCACTAGAATCACCTGGAAAGCTTTTTTTTTAAAAAAAAAACTTACACTCAGGTCCATCCCCACAGTTCCTAATTTAATTGGTCTGAGATGGTGCCCATACAGTGGTAGCCTCAAAGCTTCCCAAGGGATTCCAATGGGCAGACACAGTTGAAATCAATGTCAACCAATGGCTGAGAGAACATAACACCACACTCACAGCAGCATCAGTGGATTCTTTGGCAATGACTCTTACTTCTGTTATTTCAGAATCTCCAAAGGGACATGTATTATTTGAAAAAACTCCCTATATAATATATCCTAACTGTGATATATTACCATAAAGTTGCTTTCCCTTCATTACTCATATTCAGAATAATTATTCAACACAGCAAATAATCTTAAATTCTTTTCAAGATATTCCCAGCTCTTAAAAATCTGGCCTCTCAGGCTGAACTATTAGGTATGTCTATTCGCTATGAGTTGGGTCCGACTCAATGGCATATAACAACTACAACAACATGCATGGAGTAGTGTGCCCAAGACCATGTATAGGGTTGGCAGACAATGGCTCTACAAGTGTATTTTTATGTTGTGTAAGAATTCCCAGGTATATAGTAGAGCTGACAAGGGACAAGGTTGTAGTCACTTCTTGGCCACAGCCAGCTACCCAG